AACTTTCCTGTCTCAGTTTCCCTATTCCTCCTGCCCTGGAATCCTGTAACACCTTGATGGGAATCGAACCACAACCCTTCAGTTCATGGGCTGCTGCTCTAACCACTAAACATACCAGCCAGGGCTACCTACTATTTTTTATTGATTGCCTGCTATATGAACCATGCATTTTGGCAGTAGGTTTGCATATATATTATCTTATTGGAGTCTTTTATGGGAGAGGTACTATTAAAATTTCCACTTTAGCCCTGCTGGTGTGGCACAGTGGTTGAGTGTTGACTCAGGAAACAAGAGGTCAGCAGTTCAAGGAGAGAACCAAGATGGCGGCATAGGTAATCACCTATACTTGCTGCTTCTCACAACCACATCAAAACCACAACTAAATGGCAGAACAACTACTACCCAGAACCGTGGAGAAGCTGGTTGAGTGGAAGTTCCACAACTAGAGAGGTGAAGAAAGCACATTTAGACTGGTAAGAGGAATGGAGGCGCAGAAAGTGCTGGCACCTGGATGTGCTGCTCTTTTAACCGGGAGGGAGATACAAGCTCCTGCTTGCTCTGAACTCCAGTTGTGGGCGAGACTCTGGGGGACCCAGGCACACACAGGGAGAAACTGGACTGTCTGGCATCGGGATGGGAATGCGAGGGCGGCTTTCTCTCAGAGGTGCTCGCAGCGATCATTGTTTCTGCACAGGGGCATGGGACGCGGAGAACCAGGGACTTCTGTTTAAGGCTGACTGGCAGCCATTGCTGTTTGCTCTGCTGTGGTGATTCCCAGAGACCCTGCCCCGCCCAATTTACAACCCCACCCAAGCTGTGCCCATTGGCTTTTGCATATGAATGGCCTGCCCTTTCACCTAAAATCTGTCAAACTGCAGCTGGGTCAGAGAACTCCAGAGCTTCCAAAAGAAGGCCCAAGGCCCGGCAGCAGCACCCTGCCTTCTTTCACAGCTGGGCCTCGTCTGGTCACTTCCAAACTCCATACAAAGAGGAGGAATCTGCAGATGTCTCTGTAGCTCCTGCTGGGCGGCCCCAGACAGTGGCTGACCTTGCACCTCCTTACAGATCCAAGAGCCAGTGTACCCAGTGGTCAGAGTGAGACCATACCAGATTACAACTCTTCACATCATAAGAGATGCACTCAAGGGGCAGACTCAGCACCAAAGCCCTACTGCAGCAAGTCCTGTCCCATAAGGGTGTCTCCTGAGCAACAGATCTTCCAGTGTAGACACAGCTGGTCATCACAGCCAGTTGGCCTGGAGGTCAATTCCTTCCAGTGATACCAACAGCAATCAAGGCTTAACTACAACAAGACTGTGCAAACAGCCCACAAAGGGGTGCACCAAGAGTGTACACCTCAGGTGACTGAGGAGGCTGAGCCTTGGGCCCTATAGGACACCAACCACACAAGGCCACTCTATCAACTTAAGGAGACTTAGCAGCTATCCAGTACATAGAAACAAACACAGGGAAGCAGCCAAAATGCGGAGACAAAGAAACAAGTCACAAATAAAAGAAATAGATGAAAGCAAAACACTGGATATAGAGTTCAAAACCACAGTTATAAGGTTACTCAAGAATCTTCTAGAAACCTCCGAGAAATTTAGTGAGACCCTCAGGATATGAAAAAGTACCAATCAGAAATTAAGCATACACTGACTGAAATAATATAAAGAATAATATACAGAGATCCAACAGCAGACTAGGGGATCCCAAGAATCAAGTCAGAGATTTGAAATACGAAGAAGCAAAAAACACCCAACCAGAAAAGCAAAAAGAAAAAAGAATCCAAAAATATGAAGATAGTGTAAGGAGCCTCTGGGACAACTTCAAGCGTACCAACATCCGAATTATGGGGGTGCCAGAAGAAGAGAGACAGCAAGATATTGAAAACCTATTTGAAGAAATAATGACAGAAAACTTCCCCTACCTGGTGAAAGAAATAGACTTACAAGTCCAGGAAGCACAGAGAACCCCAAACAAGAGGAATCCAAAGAGGACCACACCAAGACATATCATAATTAAAATGCCAAGAGCAAAAGACAAAGGGAGAATCATAAAAGCAGCAAGAGAATAGCAGTTAGTTACCTACAAGGGAGTACCCATATGACTGTCAGCTGATTTCTCAACAGAAACTATGCAGGCCAGAAGGGAGTGGCAAGAAATATTCAAAGTGATGAATAGCAAGAACCTACAACCAAGATTACTTTATCCAGCAAAACTAGCATTCAGAATTGAAGGTCAGATAAAGAGCTTCACAGACAAGAAAAAGCTAAAGGAGTTCATCACCACCAAACCAGTATTATATGAAATGCTGAAGGGCATTCTCTAAGAAGAGGAAGAAAAAGGTAAAGATAAAAATTCTGAACAACAAAGTGACAACAAATACATATCTATCAACAAGTGAATCTAAAAATCAAGTGAATAAAAAATCTGATGAACAGAATAAACTGATGAATATAATAGAACCAGGGGCATAGAAAAGGAGTGGACTGACAATTCTCGGGGGGGGGGGGGGGGGAGAGGGAGGGGGTGTGGGGAGTGCGGGAAGAGACTGGACAAAAATCTTACACCTATGGATGAGGACAGTGGGGGGGGGGGTGTAAAGGGTAAAGGTTGGGGTGGGAACTGGGTAGAGGGGAGCTATGGGGGGATAAAAGAGGAACAACTGTAATAATCTGAAGAATAAAGATTTATTTTTTTTAAAAAAAGAGATCAGCAATTCAATTGGTTCAATTCCCAATCAGGCACATGCCCCAGTTGTGGGCTTGATCTCCAATAGGGAGTGCTTTTGTCTCTCTATCCCTCTCCCTTCCTCTCTCTCTAAAATCAATAAAAAACATTTAAACATTTTCTTTTTCAAATTTCCATTTTAGATGAGGAAAGTTATGCGCAAAGAACAACCAATTTTTGGTGGAGCCAATAATCAAACCTTTGTCTACTGAACCCCAAAGCCATGGCTGGCATTCTAGGGACATTTCCAGCAGTGACCAATCTTTATTGAAGGTGGTATTTGCCTCAGCATCTGATATGCAAATGCCTAAAGGCCCAGATCCCTGTGGTCCATACTTGTACCACCTTATTTGGAAATCCAGCCCTGATTAATCTGGTTGCTGTATTTCTTGGAATCTGGCTTTTGCGGCTTTTGTGCTCCTTGATTCTCTGTGCTGCTGATGTTCCTGCTTACTCTGCGCCTCACAAGGATGTCAATGTAGGGCTGTCTGGTCAGCACAGGCAGCTAGGATTCTGTGGTTGAGTTTGTTGTTTGCTTATTTCAAGTGAATTAAAAAATTATGTAGTATCTATTGTGTATAAGACCTTATTGTACTGATGGGGGTTTTGATGGAAAGATAGACAAGCCAGGCATGGTTCTTCTCAAGGAGCTTACAAACTCCAAAAATATTCTTCAGGCCTGTATTTTTGGCTCACTTTTTCCATATGAGTTATGTGGTAATTTTGTCAAGTTCATAAAGTTGTTTGCTGGTATTTTATGAAAATTGTGCCAAGTCTGTTCATTGAGTTGGGGACTATTAACCTCATTTTGAATGACTTTCTACCCTGGTAAATGGTTCTAACTTCTGGGCCCAGTCTTGCTGCTGATTACTGCCTTTCTTTCTTCCTCCCTTCCTTCCTTCCTTCCTTCCTTTCTTTCTCTCTTTCTTTTTTTCTTTCTTTCTTTTTTTTTTTCTTTTTTTTTTTCTTTCTTTCTTTCTTTCTTCCTTTCTTCCTTCCTTCCCTCCTTCCTTTCTTTCTTTCTTTCTTTCTTTCTTTCTTTCTTTCTTTCTTTCTTTCTTTCTTTCTTTCTTTCTTCCTTTGTTCCTTCCTTCCCTCCTTCCTTTCTTTCTTTCTTTCTTTCTTTCTTTCTTTCTTTCTTTCTTTCTTTCTTTCTTTCTTTCTTTCTTTCTTCCTTCCCTCCTTCCCTCCTTCCCTCCTTCTCTCTCTCTCTCTCTCTCTCTCTCTCTCTCTTTCTTTCTTTCTTTCTTTCTTTCTTCTTCCTTCCCTCCCTCCCTCCCTCCCTCCCTCCCTCCCTCCTCCCTCCCTTCTCCTCTTCCTTCCTTCCTTCCTTCCTTCCTTCCTTCCTTCCTTCCTTCCATCCATCCTTCCTTCCTTCCTTCCATCCATCCTTCCTTCCTTCCTTCCTTCCTTCTTTCCCTCCTTCCTCCCTCCCTCCCTCCTCAACTGAGGACATGGTTTTATTGACTTGAGAGAGAGAAACATTGATCAGTTGCCTCCCATATGCACCCTGACTAGGCATTGAACCCACACCTTTTGGAGTATGGGACGACACTCCAACCAACGGAGCAATCTGGCCAGGGCTGTGTTATTTCTTTTTCTTTTTTTCTTTTTTCTTTTTTTTAGCTTTATTGAGATATAAATGACACATTACATTGTGTAAATTTAAGGTGTACAACATGTTGATTTGACACACTTATCTCTTGCTGTGCTGTTCACTCTGTTCCTTTTTATGTTGGAGAGATGCTCAGGAGGGGCTCTTGTTTTTCTGTAGAGGGTCTGTCTCTCCCGGGCTGCCCTTATGGGAGAAATGTTTATATTCATCTCCAAGATGCAAATGTGAAATCCTGCATTGTTGTACACCTCCAGTGCTTGTTGATCTGGTTCTAGGGAGCTCAGAGCTCACTCAAGCCTCAGAGTCCAGGCTGAAACAGCAGCGGGGCCCAACAGCTGGACAGAACCCTGAGAGACGGGACCAGGTAGGCAACACTTGAAGGCCTACCTTCAAGACTTTATCCTATAGTCATCTTCATTTAGTTTGTAAACTTTTATTATAATCTTTTTCATTTTTGTTCTATTTGAAATAAACACAGTAAAGTAGAAAGAATAGCCCTAGCTGGTTTGACTCAGTGGATAAAGCATCGGACTGTGGACTGAAGGGTCCCGGGTTCAATTCCAGTCAAGAGCACATGCCTGGGTTGTGGGCTCCATCCCAAGTAGGGGTGTGCAGGAGGTGGCTGGTCAATGATTCTCTCTCATCATTAATGTTTCTTTCTCTCTCTTCTTCTCACTTTCTCTCTGAAATAAATAAAAATATATTTTTTTTAAAAAAAGAAAGAAAGAATAGTACAAGGAATATTCATATGTCCACCACCTAGTTTCAACAATAGTTAACATTTTTATGTATTTGCCTATCTACCAATCTATCACCTATCATATATATATCACTTTAATGTAAATTACAAACATAGTGACTTTTATCCTTCAAATACATCTCCAGAAAGTAAGGATACCATTGTCACATTTAACAAAATAATTATCTAATTTAATCTGATAATAAGGCCATATTTAAAATTATCGTTTGCCCCCAAATATCTTTTGAAGCTGGTTTCTTGAAACCAGGAACCAATCAAGGCTCATGCATTGCATTTTGTTTTTATTTCTCTCAATTTATTTTAATCCAGTACAATTGCTTCTCCTTTCATAGTGTCTTTGACTTGTAAGCCCTAAGAAGGAAGATACCTACTAAGAAGGGCTCTTGGCGGCTAACTAGGCTCAAAATTTAAAAAAACAAAGGAAAAACAAAAACAAACAAAAAAAGAGCCTAGCAGCCATTTCTACACAGGGGCCTCTCATGCAAACCACACTTCAGGGAGAAACGTGTACTGAGCTGCCTGCCTGCACTGTGTTTCTGCCATCTGAGCCACCCCTTATAAGAAAACTAGAGGCCCAGTGCACAAAATTCATTCACGGCTGTGTGTGTGTGTGTGTGTGTGTGTGTGTGTGTGTGTCCCTCAGACCAGCCTGCACTCTCTCCAATCTGGGATCCCTCGAGGGAAGTCCGACTGTCCTCTCACAATCCAGGACTGCTGGCTCCCAACTGCTCGCCTGCCTGCCTGATCACCCCTAACCACTCCCCTACCAGCCTAATCGATGCCTAACTGCTCCCCTGCTGGCCTGGTCACCCCTAACTGTCCTCCCCTGCAGGCCTGGTTGCCCCCAATTGCCCTCCCCTGAAGGCCTGGTCACCCCCAACTGTCCTCCCCTGTGGGCCTGGTCCCTTCCAACTGCCCTCCCCTGCTGGCCATCTTGTGGTGGCCATCTTGTGTCCTCATGGGGGTGGGCATCTTGTGTGTTGGAGTGATAGTCAATTTGCTTATTACCTCTTTATTATATAGGATTCCTGGAACCTTATTTTAACCAATAGGACTGAGGCTTTCCCCATACAATTGGAGCTACACAGCTATATCCCCATCAGCTTATTTACCAACTAATCAGAGTGGCTCAAGTCTGACCAATCAGGACAGTGCCCTTAGGTCTAATCAAACTGAGAATTTGGAGTCCTCATTTGCATGAGGATGGACCAATCATGAACCAGGTGTGGGGACTTCTATCTATATAAGATAGCTCCCCTCTGGCTTTGGGCGTGCACTTTTCCTTTCCATTGAAGACTGAGGATTGTGCTTTCCTGGCTGAGCTGAAACACTAAAGATGTCTTGCTGGAGCAGAGTGGAGCAGACCAACATAGGCCAGAGAGCAGAGCAGAGCTGCCTGGCCTTCTCACAGCCATGCTGTCTCACAGTCAAGCTATATCACAATTGAGCTGTTTTGTACTAAATAAAGTTTCCTCCTTCACTGCATCCCAAATTGGGGATTCCTGTTAGTGTTGAACTGGCACCAACAACCATCCATTGAGAGACTCTTGAAAAGAAAGATCAGTTCTCAATGTATAATATTTCATATTGTGAATTTGTCCAATTATTTCCCTTTTATGTTATTTAACTTGTTTCTTTATCTGTATATTTTCTGTAAACTAAAAGTTAGATCTTAAAGATTTGCTTAGATCCTGATGAAAACTTCTTGGCAAGAACACATGGCTCTAAATAATGGAGGCTGTCATTGGGAGTCTCTTTCCAGGGTGGAAGACAGGCAGAAAGGAGGCAGAAAGTGGGTTGGGAGCAGCCTGGGCCTTCCCTAGGCAGGTGACTATAACAAATCTCAGAATATGTGCCATCGCAGAATGGTTTTTCTTCACCAACTGGGGCTTAAGAAGTGGGCTTAGGCTTAGTATTCTGGTTTAAGAGCCCCAGTGCAGGAAGCAGTTGTCCTGAAAACCTTGAGCTGCAGTTCCAGGTTGCTCATAGCTTGGTGACAGTTCTGACTCCTTGTCCTAGATCTGAGTGGCAGTGGTGCAGTATGATGTAAGGAAAAGGACAGACTTTGGAGACAGATTGAACTGTGCAATTTGTCAGCTTTTGGTCTTGGGCAATTCACTTGAACTCTTTGAGCCTTGGTTCCTCTATCTGTGAAGTGGGCACTGTAATTATCCTACTTACCAGAGTAGTTTTAGGGATTAAAACTACTAATGGGCCAGAGGCACCAGGCACATGGGTGGGTATTCAGTAGGTGGAAACTAATGCTAATGAGTAAAGCTTTAGGCACAATAATGGGCCAGTGGCCAGTACTTGGGGCTGCCCCCTTTACACTCCAACAATAAGGTGACTGAATACTATTCCCCCAGGTGTTGGGGTGGGGTGAGCTTGAAGCAGCTGTAGACCTTCTGACATAAGGGACTATTAATTCTCTAATTAAAGCAAACCAGTGGGCAGAGGCTGGCAGCAAACAAAGCCATTTCATAGGTCTTCAGAGTTGGCCACCATTAGCTGGTTATACAGAGTGACCTTCTTTGCTTGCTTGTTAATTTAATCCAGGATTGCTGGTGGAAGTGCATCTGCTGTGGCAAGGTTTGTGACTTTTTCATATGTTTCCTTGGTTAACCTCATTGTCTTTTGTAATACAGTTCTTAGGGCATATAATTTACAATAAACTCTAGAGGTAAGATGAGGAAGAGCTCACCTCTTGAGATTTAAAAACAAACATCAATATTTAATGGTTGAATGTAGCTTTATACATGAGAAATCCACCTCAACTATGTTAATGAATTGAGCAAATGGTGGAAACCAGGGAAGTATCCTAATGTTGGCAACAGGATTCATGATTAGACTGTTATACTCTTGTCAGGTTGTTTTTGGTTTAAAATAACAGAATGTGTAACTAAAAGTGGTCTAAACAATAGGGTACATCTCATCTCATATAACAAAGTAGCATTTCTTGAGAAACTCAGATTGAGGCTCCTTTTTCTTAGGAATTTAAGGAGGTTTGATTACGTTAACCCATGGTTATTGGCATCAATTCAACACCAACAGAAATTCCTAATTTGGGGTGCAGCAAAGAAGGAAACTTAATTCAGTGCAAACAGCTCAATTTGATACAGCACAGCTGTGTAACAGCTCAGTAGTGTTACAGCTCAGTTATGTAGCACAGCTATGGATCTGCATGATTGTGAGGCAGCCGGAAGGCCAGGCCCCTGTCCTGCTAGACAGCTCTGCTCTGCTCTGGTCCACTCCTCTCTGCCCTGTGCCAGTCTTCACTATTTCAGCCAGCCAGGGAAACAGTCTCTAGTCTTCCATGGAAAGGGAAAGTGCACACTCCAAGGCAGAGTGTGTTATCTGGCTGTCTGCGGGTGTGGTGTGACAGCTGATCCTTTGAAAGGGCAATTTGCCACCTCCCTCATTACTTGCCAAGTTTATCTAATTTAGCAGGGGACAATAGCACTATGTTTGTACTTAACCAACACCAAGAAAGTTTCTGTTGTTACCTTAAGCCCTTGAGACGGAGTGGCCACTTGGAGATCTGAAAAGACAAGTCTAGGACCCTCCCCACCTTCTGAAATGCTTCCCCTCTCCCCCTCTACTAACTGCATCTGGCATCCTAGTCATTTAAAGGAAGGTGGTAAACAGGCTAGGGCACATGATGGTTCTCAACTGTGAACATGCATCAGAATTACTGGGGGGGTTGTAAAAGCACAGATACCTGGGCACCTCCCTCAGAGTTTTTAGTTAGTAGATCTGGGAAGAGTCTGAGATTTTGCATTTTTAACTAGTTTAAAGCTGATGCGGATGATTATGGTCCAGGGCCCATACTTTGAGAACCCCTGGGCAAAATAATAGACTGTGATATCTCTTTGAGTGTGTGTAACTAAGTATTTGATTTTTTTCCATTCTTTCATGAACACTCTCTTGAGAATGGATCAGGGTCATGGATAGGAATCGACACAATAGAAACAACAGTGGGTGTTAGAAGATGTAGATCAAGCATGTCAAACTCAAAGGCTAACACAGGCCAAATAAACAAGGTTTAAGTTTATGTGGGCCGCAAAAAAACAAAAGCTTCAATTTTCATAGAAACGTAGGTTTATTTCAATACAGACATGCTGAATACAAAGGGCTGAAATAAATGAGTAATTGTTAACATAAAATAGAACATTTTAATAAAAATTGTTTTTTCTTGAACATTAACTTACCAGACACTGAATAACTGCACAAATTAATAAGTGTAACGCAAATAAACCTATTTTTTTGTTCTCTAAAAGTGAAATATTTCCTGTTGCGCACACCAAACAAGTCGGTCCAAGACTAATGGCGTGGCAATTGACTGCTAAAATATTCGCTGCTAGTATTAGTGGAGAGAAATGGCCTGCGCGTAAGGTGTGTAAGCGAAATGAATGCAACACGTTTATAGTAATCAGTCATTAGTGAACGTTATAGTTCGTTATTAATAATTATGTATAACAGAATATTGTAAAAATTAAGTTACGAAATTTTTATTAAAACATTTCTTACATACCGTTATATTGGCTGGGCTGCAAAAAACATTCGTTGTGGGCCACATGCAGCCCTTGGGCTGCGAGTTTGACATACTTGATGTAGATGATACTGAGCCTGATTTTTTGCAGGCCTCAAGGTCTAAATTTCATTCAAGGAACAAAAAATACAAGTAAGCAAGAGATTTTCTGAGTACCAAATAAAAAGAAGTATTTTTTAAAATATTGAATAGTTTTCCTTTGCTAATGTAACAAATTACCACAAACATAGCAACCTAAAAGCACATATTTTTTTCTCACAATTTCTGTAGGTTAGAAGACCCAGTGGGCTCAGCTGAGTCCTCTGCTTCACATCTCTCAAAGCCAAAATCAAGGTGCCTGCCTGGAGGCTCTGGAGAATAGTCTGCTTCTAAACTCATGTTGTGGCCATCCCTGTTTCCTTGCTTGCTGTCAGTTGTAGGATAATCTGTGGTCTGAGGAGGTGCCTATTTTCTTCCCAGGCTTTCCATGTGGTCCCTCCAGCAATAGCAACCTGAGTCCATCTAATACTTCCAATGTTTGCCTTCTGTTGAATCTCTCTGACTCTAGCCAGAGAGAGTGCCTGCTTGTCAGGGCCCACGTGATCAGATTGGGCCTACCCAGGGTAACTTCATTTTATTTCGTTTATTTTTATTTTTTCAGGGTAATCTCTTTTTAAAAAATCCTCACCCAAGGATATTTTTCCATTAATTTTTTAGAGAGAGTGGAAAGAAGGGAGAGAGGCAGAGAGACAAACATTGCTGTGAGATACATTAATTGGTTGTCTCCCACATGGGCCCTGGGGCTGGGGGTCGAGCCTGCACTCGAAGTACTTGCCCTTGCCCAGAATCAAACCTGTGATCCTTCAGTCCACGGCCAACGATGACGCTCTATCCACTGAGCAAAACCGGCCAGGGCTCTCTCATTTCTTTTTTCTTCTCTCCTCATTTTTAAAGTCTATGACTTTAATGATATCTACAGATTTCCCTTTGTTATATAGTACAGCACAGTTGCATGGTCCAAGGATTAGGTTGTGGACATCTTTAGGGAGCCTTCTGCCTACCATGAATAAATAATATGGTTGAAAAAAAAAATCAGAGTAACATAAAAATACTTACTGAAAAAAGTCTTACTTCCTATTCTTTCCACCTGATCCCTCACCTATCCTTACCAGCTAACCACTATTTTTAGTTTCTTGTGTATTCTTCCAGAGTTAGTTTTTGTAAACATAGTATGAATATGAACATTATTCTTTTCCCTACTGTCCCAATTATGCCCCAAGTAATTAATTAATTATCTGTCTAGACTAAGTGGGACAAACGTAGATGACCAGGAGTCAGGATAATGGCCTATCCCCTGTTACTTCAATGTCTAGACAGCTGAGCTGAACCAGAACACATGAACACACAAGACAGAATTAGTATGCAATTACACAGGGTTTATTTACCTATTCCTAGTGGGTCCTAGGCTCCAGCAAAGGCCACCTGGCGATGCACACTGAAAGACGGACGACGAAGATGGAGACAGACAGGTGGCCACAGTTGGTTCAGGCTCACACAGCAGAGCAGTCAATCAGGGGCTTGTCTCACAGAGTGACGTGGAGTCCTCCTCTCAGGCAGGAGATAACGACTGGAGAAAAATCTTGTGCTTATATAGCCGGTAGTAAACAACTTGTGTCTTATCAGTGTGGGCCAGACGGTGTGCCTTTGCTAGGAGCAGGGTGTTTACGCTGTAAGGGCTTAGGGCCGTGGTTGGCAAACTGCGGCTCGTGAGCCACATGCGGCTCTTTGGCCCCTTGAGTGTGGCTCTTCCTAAGCCTTAGGAGTACCCTAATTAAATTAATAACAATGTACCTACCTATATAGTTTCAGTTTTAAAAATTTGGCTCTCAAAAGAAATTTCAATCGTTGTACTGTTGATATTTGGCTTTGTTGACTAATGAGTTTGCCAACCACTGGTTAGGGGATTCACATCAAGATAGTGGGGCGTTCACCACATTTTGGAAGTTACAGAGTATTGGGGTCTTTACACAGCAAACATTTCACACATTAATTATGTCCACACATTAGAGGGGTTTCCTTATGACCATAACATCATTATAACACCTACTTACATTGAAGGTAGCATACTGTGTACTTCTGCGTCTTGCTTTTTTTCTTGTTAAAATTAAATGTCACTTGGAGATGCTTTTTTTTACAGTGCATAGAGAAAGTTCTTCATCTATTTCAATAAAGCATAACACTCCATAAATGGGTACTATAATTTACTTACCCTGTCTCCTGTTGATGGACTGCTGATCTGTTTCTAATATTCTGCCACATCATCAATAGCTGTCAGTGACTAACTTCACACAAACATTATTTCTTCCATGTGACCACTGATTGTTTTTAAATTTTGATTGCTGTAGGTAATGCTGGGGGGGATTTGACCTCCAGGCCAACTGGCTGTGAGAATCAGCTGTGTCTGCAGTGGGAGAACTTCTGTCCTCTGGGGAGGTGCTAATCTAGCGTTTGCCTGAGGCTATCTGGCAAATGCCTCTGTGCAGGGCTTGGGCGGGGCGGGTTGCACAGGATCAACAGGGCAGGCGGAGTGAGCAGTTATGGCTGCTCTCAGTCCTGTCCCCAGGGGCTCTGTCTCGCAGAGTCCCTGCAACCACTGCAAACCTCGGAGAGAAAGCTGCCCTCGAGTTCCAACTGATGCCAGACAGTCCCGCTTCTCCCGTTGGAGTCTGGGTCCCTAGAGACTCACCCGGAACTGGAGCCCAGAGCCCGAGACTCCCTCCTGATTGAAACAGACAACCACACCCTCAGCCGCCAGCCCACTCCACGCGCACCTCCACACCTTAGTATTTTCCGCACTGCGCCTCCTCTGAGTCTCAGTATGCTTTTCTCTATCCTCCTAGTTGTAGAATTTCCCCTCAGCCAGCTTTCCTGTGGTTCTGGGTGATGTCCGTTCTGTCTTTTAGTTGTATTTTTGAAGTGGTTGTGCGAGGCAGCAATCTCTGGTGTTTACCTATGCCGCCATCTTGGTTCCTTCCCCTGTTTTTAAATTTTGTTTGTTTTGCTTTTAGTTCTAACATCTCCAAGGCTAGTGACAAGTTGGCTAGGTGACATGACACCATCTTGCCTTGGTGGCCCAGAAAATGGAGACTTTAGCTTGACTTTGTGAATCTGAATCATTGCCATACCTGGCTAGTCTCAATTCCTCCAAAAGCATCCTCAGCTTTTCTGTAGGACCTCTGACCATCCCATATGTACTTCCATTGCTCCACCATACTATACACCTCCTGGAAGCACCATTAGCCTCAAGTTGATGTAAGTGGTACCCCTCTGAAGGTTGCCAAAGGAGGAACACAGGAGACCAGAATGGTGAGGGATTACGAATTTATTTGATCATCCACATACCAGGTGGCTAAACTTGGATGGCTCCAGCAAATAGTGATGGGAGTCAGCAGCTTTTAAAGGACTTTTGGCAGGCTTTTTTTCTGGGTGGAGACTTCTTTATGCATACCCAGAGGGGAGATAATGGAATGTGGTCACCCCAAGTGAAATGTGGTCTTAGCAAAGGGAATATCTATAGTGAAATAACCTGAAAAGCCAGTATCAGGAGGGGTATCAACTCAATTGCTTGATCAAACCTAACACCCCCTGAGGTTATGCCACCAGAAGTATAAGCTGCCACCCTGTCCCCAAGCCACTCTGTTCCACCTTGTTACGCTGATAAGAAAGAAATTCCACTTCAGGTCCTCCCTTTGACCTTCTGGTTTGTTCATACTCTTACCTAAAAGGATCACTTCCTTTTGTTATCAGAGAAATGGCTAGTGGGAGTGGGATATCCCATTCCCCACTGGGTGATCATAGTTGGGTCCTTAAGATATCTTGCAAAAAAGAATTTTCTGAGACCTGTACAGGAGGATGACTGATTTTGGGTTTCCAGAATCCCATTTCTGCCTGACTGGTGTGGCTCAGTAGTTGAGCATCTACCTATGAACCAGGAGGTCATGGTTTGATTCCTGGTCAGGGCACTGAAAGATCAGACAGAGGCCGAAAACCAGGACTATAGGCTTTATTAGAGGAGAAGGACCTGCCGGGCTGTCTCGCAAGGGGAGAACAGCAGCATGTGCAGGGGTGGGCACGCCTTTTGAGGGGCGGAATGGGAATGAATGGGGGCTTAGTGTACTCGGCGCACGCTGATTGGTGGCTTAATGTATGGTCCGTATAGGAACAAGGGCTTAGGGCAGTGGTTGGCAAACTGTGGTCCTAGAGCCACATGCGGCTCTTTAGCCCCTTGAGTGTGGCTCTCCCACAAAATACCACGTGCGGGCGCACACATACAGTGCAATTGAAACTTCGTGGTCCATGCGCAGAAGTTGTTTTTTGGCCTGGGCAGTCTATTTAGAAGAGGTGGGGGGTGTCGGTCGGTTGGGCGACGGGAGATGTGACGCAGGCGGGCCGCGGGATACGCAGCACGGGGGAGGTACATTGTTTTGAGGTATATTCGCTGAGGTCGACCTCTTCCAACTCTCCCATCCACACTCGTCTATCTGAAACAAGTATACAAGACGAGTGTCAACCTCAGCGAACGTACCTCATTCAGATTGAGGACATTTTTAGCAAAGGCCAGCTTAGGAGTACCCTAATTAAGTTAATAACAATGTACCTACCTATATAGTTTCAGTTTTAAAAATTTGGCTCTCAAAAGAAATTTCAATCGTTGTACTGTTGATATTTGGCTCTGTTGACTAATGAGTTTGCCGACCACTGGCTTAGGGTATTTGGCAGGTGTGGATTGGTGGTCCAATGTATAGTCCATATAAGGCACATGGTTAGTCGCTCAGGTATTTCCAGGCTGCAGGTTACGTCATACTCCGCCCACCAGTTGGGGGAAGGGAGGATCTATCAGGCACATGCCCAGTTTTCGGGCTCGATCCCCAGTGTGGGGCATGCAGAAGGTAGACAATGGGTGATTCTCTCTCATCATTGATGTTTCTCTCTCTCTCTCTCTCTCTCTCTCTCTCTCTCTCTCTCTCTGTAATAATCAATAAAAATTTATTAAAAACAAACAAACAAAAATCTCATTTCACTTAATCCAGTCCTGGAAGAAATGCAGCTAGAAGAAAAGCCAATGTCCAGAGTTTCCATTCCATGTTGGAGCTGGGTCCAGTTCAGCATTAGGCTAGTTATACGCCATTAATCCACTGTGTGGAGTCCACATGATTGTGGGCCATGTGGGCCAAGATGGTGGCACCCCCTGTGTTATAGTTATGATTGTATTAGTATGTAGTGACCCCCATATTTCAATATTAAGTTGTAACCCAGTGTGAGACCCACAAAACCCGAATGTACTTTTCCAAATGAGTGAACACCCAGAACTTGTACCCTAGACCCATATTGCACCAGTATAGCACACCACAGCCGGCAGCCACCGATAAGGACCATCGTGTTTACTCAACCACATAAAAACCCCAGACTTTTGACACTCAGTGTCGCCTGCCCGAGAGAGAGGACTCCACATCACTCTGCAGACGACCCCGAGATGCTCCGCCGAGACTGAGACCGAGTCAAGGCTGCTCCCGTTTTGGTCTTCATCCTTGTCGGTGTGCATCGCCGGGTGGCCGCGCTGGTGCTAGGATCCACTAGGAAGTGGTAGTAAACCCCTGTGTGATGGCAGACTAACTTCTGTCTCTGTGTGTTGATGTTTATGACTTGGCTCGGTTGCCTTAGGCCTTAAAGATCCAAGGGGGACGTTGTTATCCTGACCCTCGGACACCTGTGCTTGTCCCGACCAGGCTAAGGCAGAATATGTAATTAATAGAATTTGGGGTCAACTGGGACACCCTGCAACAAGAGTTCAAGAGTCCTGTGTGAACCACGAGTGCAAGAGAGTAAATTCTTTTCTTTAGGAACTTAAGTTTCTCAAATCTTCCTGTGTTTGCAGGTGTGACTGACAGACAAATACTTTCCCTATGTTACCCAGACTTTATTGGGCATGTGTTTAAGGCAACTTCTTGGCAAAGCTGCACAAATAACATGCCTATAATATTTGGCTCCTTTCCAGTTTTTTAACAACTAGGCTCATTACAGTGGTATCATTTTCCCTTTGGAGATTTTTGACTTCCTGGCCAGTCCCCTCTTTCTTTCATACTTTTTCTGTGTGTTTTTTTCCCCCCCACTTGTCTGGAGAAGATTCATAAGCTGATTGTTCTTCCCCAACAATAATAAACTCAGCTTACTGCCGGGATCAGGCGCTCAAGGCACACACATAAGCCTCTGGTCTTAAGCCAATTTCCTGTGCATCTCCACACCCCCCATCTCTGTGAGCAGATGGCTCATCTCTGCCTCTTCCTATTTGGTTCTGTAGAGGCCTCAACTTTCAGCTTCATTTTGAGACAGAAATGACTGAAGTCTCTTGAAGAGCTCCTCAGGTGGCCTGCTCAGCTCATTTCCTCAGATTCTTTCTGGTGACTTATAAGTGTTACCGAATTTTTGGGCTGGAACCCGAATTCTTTGTCCACCAGAATCGAAGAATGAGTCCACGGACAGAAAGTGGTATAGCAAAGATGGAGATTTATTGAAGAACAAGTACAGACTCTCATGTAGGGAGGGGGAAGAGTCCCACTGGGTTCCTTTCCCTATGGCTTATAAAGACTGCAGATCCTGCTGCCTGATATATCCCCTCTGATTGGTCAATATTCCCCTTTGACATGTGAGGTTCTCCCCCCTCCTTCCCTCTTGGCTTTCTTCTTTTCCATCTGAATGAAGGGCTTCCTTCTCTTTTTTGTAAATATAGACCTTTCCTGGCTACTTCTAGTTCCCTTGTCTTATGGAAATGTAACTACACCTGTCTTCCTTGTGTTATGGAAATGTACCTTCTCCCAGTCTGTGGCCCTGTTTTTTCTTTCCATGGACCCCAATTCTAAAAATTCCTAATCCTTCCTATATTCCCCCTAAAATTTCTGCTTCAGTCCCCCCTCTGATTAGGAAACCCCAACTACCGTTGGCGACAGTGGATGCCGGGTCTTTCTGCTGGCAAAGGGGTCATAGTTTGGGGCGGCAGTCAGGGTCCCATCAGAAGTGGGCTACTAAGGGTCCATGGAACATGGATGTAGCAGCGTCTTCATTTGCTGTTCCATGTGGAGAACCAGTTGTAGCTTTAGGGCTTCTAAATGGGAGAATATGAAACATAACAAGCAATGGTTAAAGACGGGCAATAATAAAACAGTATAAACTAAGGCCTGAGGAAGTGGTTTTGATTGGTGATAGTGGTAGCATAGGTTGTCCTATAAACCAAGATTTAACACGTTTTACTCTGAATATACTTAGTAGTTAGGGATTCGGGGAGCTAGTATGGCTTGAGAAATTTACTATACCAGGTTTACAGAGAGGGGCTATAAGTAGGAGTATCTTGTGGTGTTTCTGGGTCCCAGTAAGGACAGAGAAGGTCTCCTCCAGGTACCAGCCCAGGGTTTAG